ATACCTGGTATATCTAATAGTTTAGGTATATTACCTGGTATATCTAATAGTTTAGGTATTTTACCTAGTATGTCTAATAGTTTAGGTATTATTCCTGTTATATCTAATAGTTTAGGTATAATACCTGGTATATCTAATTGTGGAGGTATTATACCTGATATATCTAATAGCTTAGGTATCATACCTTGTATATCTAATAGTTTAGGTATAATACCTGGTATATCTAATAGTTAAGGTATAATACCTGGTATATCTAACTGTGTAGGTATAATACCTGGTATATCTGATAGTTAAGGTGTTATAGCTGGTATATCCAATTGTGTAGGTATAATACCTGAGATATTTAATTGTGTAGGTATCATACCTGGTAAATCTAATAGTTTAGGTATAATACCTGGAATGTCTGATAGTTAAGGTATTATAGCTGGTATATCTAATTGTGTAGGTATTATACCTGAAATATTTAATTGTGTAGGTATCATACCTGGTATATCTAATAGTTTAGGTATAATACCTGTTATATCTAACTGTGTAGGTATTATACCTGTTATATCTAATAGTTTAGGTATAATACCTGGTATACCTAAACTATTAGATATAATACCTGGTATATCTAATAGTTTAGGTATAATACCTGGTATTTCTAACTGTGTAGGTATAATACCTGGTATATCTGATAGTTAAGGTGTTATAGCTGGTATATCCAATTGTGTAGGTATATTACCTGAGATATTTAATTGTGTAGGTATCATACCTGGTAAATCTAATAGTTTAGGTATAATACCTGGAATATCTGATAGTTTAGGTATTATAGCTGGTATATCTAATTGTGTAGGTATTATACTTGAGATATTTAATTGTGTAGGTATCATACCTGGTATATATAATAGTTTAGGTATAATACCTGGTATATCTAATAGTTTAGGTATTATAGCTGGTATATCTAACTGTGTAGGTATTATACCTGTTATATCTAACTGTGTAGGTATTATACCTGGTATATCTGATAGTTTAGGTATCATACCTGGTATATCTAATAGTTTAGGTATTATACCTGGTATATCTAATAGTTTAGGTATCATACCTGGAATATCTAATAGTTTAGGTATTACAGCTGGTATATCTAATAGTTTAGGTTTTATACCTGTTATATCTAATAGTTTAGGTATAATACCTGGTATAGTTATATCTAATAGTTTAGGTATAATACCTGGTATATCTAATTGTGTAGGTATAATACCTGGTATATCTAACTGTGTAGGTATTATAGCTGGTGTATCTAACTGTGTAGGTATTATAGCTGGTATATCTAACTGTGTGGGTATCATAGCTGGTATATCTAACTGTGTAGGTATTGTAGCTTGTATATCTAACTGTGTAGGTATTATAGCTGGTATATCTAACTGTGTGGGTATCATAGCTGGTATATCTAACTGTGTAGGTATTGTAGCTTGTATATCTAACTGTGTAGGTATTATAGCTTGTATTTCTAACTGTGTAGGGATTATAGCTGGTATATCTAACTGTGTAGGTATTATAGCTGGTGTATCTAACTGTGTAGGTATTATAGCTGGTATATCTAACTGTGTAGGTATCATAGCTGGTATATCTAACTGTGTAGGTATTATAGCTTGTATATCTAACTGTGTAGGTATTATAGCTGGTATATCTAACTGTGTAGGTATAATACCTGGTATATCTAACAGTTTAGGTACAATACCTGGTATATCTAATAGTTTAGGTATTACAGCTAGTATATCTAATAGTTTAGGTATCATACCTGGTATATCTAATTTGTAGATATTATGCCTGGTATATCTAATAATTTGGATATTATACCTGGTATATCAAGTAGTGGAGGTATTGTACCTGGTATATCTAATAGTTGAGGTATAACAGCTGGTATATCTAATAGTTTAGGTATTATACCTAATATATCTTATAGTTTAGGATACTTGGTATATCTTATAGTTTAGGTATAATACCTGGTATATCTAACTGTGTAGGTATTATACCTGGTATATCTAACTGTTTAGGTATTATACCTGATATATCTAATAGTTCAGGTATTATACCTGGTATATCGTATAGTTTAGGTATAATACCTGGTATATCTAATAGTTTAGGTATAATACCTGGTATATCTAACTGTGTAGGTATTATACCTGGTATATCTAACTGTTTAGGTATTATACCTGATATATCTAATAGTTCAGGTATTATACCTGGTATATCGTATAGTTTAGGTATAATACCTGGTATATCTAATAGTTTAGGTATCATACCTGTTATATCTATCTGTGTAGGTATTATAGCTGGTATATCTAACTGTGTAGGTATTATACCTGATTTATCTAATAATTTAGATATTATACCTGGTATATCAAATAGTGGAGGTATTGTACCTGGTATATCTAATAGTTGAGGTATAACAGCTGGTATATCTAATAGTTTAGGTATTATACCGAATATATCTAATAGTTTAGGATACTTGGTATATCTAATAGTTTGATATAATACCTGGTATATCTAATAGTTTAGGTATCATACCTGTTATATCTAACTGTGTAGGTATTATAGCTGGTATATCTAACTGTGTAGGTATTATACCTGATTTATCTAATAATTTAGATATTATACCTGGTATATCAAATAGTGGAGGTATTGTACCTGGTATATCTAATAGTTGAGGTATAACAGCTGGTATTTCTAATAGTTTAGGTATTATACCGAATATGTCTAATAGTTTAGGATACTTGGTATATCTAATAGTTTAGGTATAATACCTGGTATATCTTATAGTTTAGGTATAATACCTGGTATATCTAATTGTGTAGGTATAATACCTGTTATATCTAACTGTGTAGGTATTATAGCTGGTATATCTAACTGTGTAGTGTTATACCTGATTTATTTAATAATTTAGATATTATACCTGGTATATCAAATAGTGGAGGTATTGTACCTGGTATATCTAATAGTTGAGGTATAACAGCTGGTATATCTAATAGTTTAGGTATTATACCTAATATATCTAATAGTTTAGGATACTTGGTATATCTAATAGTTTAGGTATAATACCTGGTATATCTAATAGTTTGGTATTATACCTAGTATATCTAACTGTGTAGGTATTATACCTGATATATCTAATAGTTTAGGTATTATACCTGGTATATCTAACTGTGTAGGTATTATACCTGGTATATCTAATAGTTTAGGTATAATACCTGGTATATCTAAGTGTGTAGGTATAATACCTGGTATATCTAACTGTGTAGGTATTATAGCTGCTATATCTAACGGTGTAGGTATTATAGCTAGTATATCTAACTGTGTAGGTATTATAGCTGGTATATCTAACTGTGTAGGTATTATAGCTGGTATATCTAAATGTGTAGGTATTATACCTGGTATATCTAATTTTATAGGTATTATACCTAGTATATCTAATAGTTTAGGTATTATAGCTGGTATATCTAACTGTGTAGGTATTATAGCTGGTATATCTAACTGTGTAGGTATTATAGCTATCTAATTGTGTAGGTATAATACCTGGTATATCTAATAGTTTAGGTATTATACCTGATACATCTCATAGCTTAGGTATAATATCTGATATTAATAATAGTTTAGGTATAATACCTGGTCTATCTAATAGTTTACGTATCATACCTGGTATATCTAATAGTTTCGGTATCCTACCTGGTATAGGGCTGTTACAACGTCGTTACTGGTCACAGCGTCGTTACTGGTCACAACGTCGTTACTGGTGACAGCGTCGTTACTGGTGACAACGTCGTTACTTGTGACATCGTCGTTACTTGTCGCAGCGTCGTTACTGGTCATAACGTCGTTACTGGTCACAACGTCATTACTGGTCATAACGTCATTACTGGTCATAACGTTGTTACTGGTCACAACATCGATACTGGTCATAACGTCGTTACTGGTCACAGTGTCGTTACTGGTGACAACGTCGTTACTGGTGACAACGTCGTTACTGGTCACAAAGTCGTTACTGGTCATAACGTCGTTACTGGTCACAAATTCGTTACTGGTCACAACGTCGTTACTGGTCACACCGTCGTTACTGGTCACAACGTCGTAAATGGTCACAACGTCGTTACTGGTCACACGTTGTTACTTGTGACATCGTCGTTACTTGTCGCAGCGTCGTTACTGGTCATAACGTCGTTACTGGTCACAACGTCATTACTGGTCATAACATTGTTACTGGTCACAACGTCGATACTGGTCATAACGTCGTTACTGGTCACAGTGTCGTTACTGGTCACAACGTCGTTACTGGTGACAACGTCGTTACTGGTCACAAAGTCGTTACTGGTCATAACGTCGTTACTGGTCACAAATTCGTTACTGGTCATAACGTCGTTACTGGTCACAACGTCGTAAGTGGTCACAACGTCGTTACTGGTCACAACGTCGTAAATGGTGACAGCGTCGTTACTGGTCACAACGTCGTTACTAGTCACAACGTCGTTACGGATTGAAAGGCTGCCTTTTAATTTACAACATTCCTCTCCCAAACACATACACCCACCCACAATCCCCTTACACCAACCTGTACCCCACCAACATTCCTCTCCCAAACACATACACACACCCACAATCCCCTTACACCAACCTGTACCCCACCAACATTCCTCTCCCAAACACATACACACACCCACAATCCCCTTACACCAACCTGTACCCCACCAACATTCCTCTCCCAAACACATACGCCCACCCACAATCCCCTTACACCACCCTGTACCCCACCAACATTCCCCTCCCAAACACATTCACACATCCACAATCCTACTACCCCCAAACTCAACACCACCAACATTCCCCTCCCAAACACATACAAACACCCACAATCTCATTTCCCCCTACATCCACACAACAAACATTCCCCTACCCCATCTCCACCCTACCAACATTCTGCTTCTAACTTTTCCATTCATGGCATTGATTAATTCTCTTTTCCGCAGATCGTGATTATAAAGATTGTTGACCATGCCTTCCTCTGCCCAGAAGAGGACTGTCATCCTCGCCGTCGTCATTGTGGTCTGTACACTACTCATACTACATCAGAGTAAGAATTATGACTTACAGCAAATTACAGGTTCGGAACAGAAAGTTCTTCACTTTTTGACCAAGAAGTTCTCGACATGGCCAATGGAGGTAAGTACTATTAGTAAAATGATAAAACGTCTCTTACTACAGATAATATAACGTATTTAACATGATTACAGCTGTTTGGTATTTAATAGAATCAACAAATTACTCGACAATTGATTTGGAATTTAATAGACTCGACAATTGATTCAAAAATTCGCCGTCAGTAAAGCCATTTATCACATAATCGGCCTGTTATCCAGTGAATTCGTCCTGTAATATTTTTTACATATGTCACTAGTGTAATATACCCTGGAGCGTTTTACATTGGCTGTGCCAGTCAGAAATCGATTGTGATCTTATACTATGGACAATGACGTGACGTCATAAATTGTGAATGGCCCAACAAAATGGCTGTCTGTTTGATTAACCCTCTACATTTTGGCTTTAAAACCTGTCAAAATGTAAGTTTTCTGAGTTATGTGATACAAAGTATCTTGTGTGATGTAGTTGTTGTTTCACGTTTGTCTGAATGATGGGATGGATTTTCCCGAAAAAGAAAGATTAGATTGTCCCTACTGTTGGTATGGTTTTGCTCTATATATGTGTTTGATTTTATTTTGAAACTTAGTCAACGTATTGTGTATGTACACATACAAATTAACTGAAATATACAAAATATATTCTCCTGAATATCTACTTAAATACCGCAAAAATCACTACTCAAAAATCGTTTGGCTAAATGAAGCTTTCACAGGCATGCTTCTAATGAAGCATTCTTAGATATTCAGGGCGAAATGATTACTTTATTAAAAATGACAAAAAGTTATACTTATCGGAGATTTTAATGCCAGAACTAATACTTGTGACGATTATATCGTTCCAGATGAACATTTAATTGAAACATTGAATACACATGAAAATGACGATTTACATGAGTATTTATATGATTACGAAGAGTTAACCCGTTTTGGGGTACCGCTTCAAAGAACGAGTCAAGACCTGGCATGACCAAATACATTTGGTCGTAATCTGCTTGATTTTTGTAAAAATAATAATTTATACATTGCAAACGGTAGAGTCGGCAATGATAGATTCATTGGTAAGAATACTTGTAAATATGCGAGCTTAGTTGATTATTTGATTGTATTGTCCAATGTTTTTCCTCTCTTGTGTCACTTTGAAGTTTTAGACTTTGATCCTTTGATTTCAGACGTGCACTGTAGACTAAAATTTACTATTCAATATTCTGAAACAGTATACAAAAACGAGGAACCGGTTCATCTTACTGAGAGAATCGGTAAATGGGTAAACGAAAAACAAACTGATTTCGTAACTACAGTACATATGGACGAGAGGGGTAAATAACACGAAATTAATTAAAAAAATAAAAATATACTTGAGTCTCCAAATGAGATTATATCGCGAGACGATGTAAACGATTTAGTAAATAACATTGCTGAATTGTTTTTGAACTCAGCAAGAGAAGTTTTTCAAACAAAAAAAGTGCACAATGGGAAAAAAGTATTCACCAAAGAGGACGAACCCTGGTTTATCCGTGAATGTGTTATGAAAAGAAAAGAATTTCATGAATCTAAGAGAGATTACAAAAAACTTTAAAAGCCAAAGAAATCAGAAAAAATGAACAAAAAAGGTAGAGAGTACAGAAAACTCATTAATAGAACCTATAAAAAGTTCCAAGAAAATATTGAACATGAAATGAGGAAAGCTTCCAAATTTAAACCAAAACACTTCTGGGACATTTTGAATAGAATTGATAAGCCTAAAGGTCGTCGTAAAATTGATCTGACAATAGACGAACTACATGATTATTTAAAAGAAATGAATCTTAACAATGAAACAGAGGAGGAATTTGAAATTCTACTTGTAAATGAATGTTTGTATGATAATATTTTGAATGATAGAATTACTACTGATGAGAATTTTCATGCTATAAAACATTTGAATAATAACAAAGCTTGTGGTATTGATAGTATAGTCAATGAGTACATAAAGAGTACGGTTGACACAATGTTACCTGTATATGTTGATATGTTTAATATAATATTGGACACTGGTATAATACCGAAAGTTGGAGTACAGGAATAATCAATCCAATCTATAAGAACAAAGGTGATCGCAAAAAGTTGGATAATTACAGGGCTATGAAGTTGGTCTCATGCTTGGGAAAAGTTTTTACGTCGATTTTAAATGCAAGATTATACAAACTATCTGATGAAATTGAACTCATAAGTAACGCACAAGCAGGTTTCAGAAAAGGTCATTCAACACTAGACAACATTTTATTTTACACGTTTTGACAACGTTTTATTTATCCTCCGGTAGAAAACTATATTGTGCATTCGTTGACTTTAGAAAAGCCTTCGATTCGGTGTGGCGAATAGGCTTGTGGCAAAAACTACTCAAATGTAACATAACTGGTAAAATATTTAAAGTTTTAATTAACATGTATTCTGATACGAAATCTTGTGTGAGAAATGGGAATGAAATGTCAGAATTGTTCACTTCCAATGTCGGACTAAAACAAGGGGAAAATTCCTCGCCTTTTTTTTTTGCATTATTTTAAAATGATTTAGGAGACTATTTATTGGGAAAAAAATGTCGATTGTTTACTAAAGATTGATGAACTTTGTCATGATCATATTGGTATGTACTTACAACTTTTTATTGTTTTATATGCTGACGATACAGTGTTAATATCAGAGACAGCAGATGGTCTAAAATCAATGCTAAATAAATTTCAGGATTATTGTGAGATCTTTTCTAAACGAAAGAATACTAACAGATATCGATTTCTATTATATGATAATGAGCTAGACATTCAAGATTCTTTTCCATACTTAGGTGTTCTATTTTACTATAATGGAAGGTTTGTAGTGGCAAAATAGCAATTAGCGGAACAGGCCCAAAAAGCTCTATATGCCGTATATAGGAAAATAAGAAATGTTACGTTACCCATTGATTTACAATTCAAATTGTTTGACTCGCTAGTTGCTCCAATTTTGCTATACTCATCAAAAAATGGGGCTATGAGGATGTTAGTATACTTGAAAAATACACCTCCATTTCTGTAAACGAATTCTTGGTCTACGTAGAAATACTTGTAATTTTATGGTATATGGAGAAACGGGCAGATACCCTATTGAGGTTGATGGCAAATTGAGAATGATTAAATTTTGGTAAACACTTACCTCGAGTGAAAATAAGTTGTCTAGTCGTATGTACAAATTGATGTACTCATTACATGAAAATGGACAAATCGAGTTTAAATGGTTGAATTATGTTAAATTATCCTGGATAGCGTAGGTCTAAGCTATGTTTGGATCCATCAAAAACCTCTCTGCCCGATATTGCTTAGTTAAAAGCTGCAATTATACATAAATTACACGATCAGTTTATTCAGTCCTGGTTTAATAAAATTGAAACTTCATCCAGAGGACGATTGTACTCTACATTTAAATATCGCTTTGGTTTAGAAGACTATTTGTGTTAAGATTAAACGCAAATAATACGAAAATGATCTGCAAATTTAGAACTTCAAATCTTAAGCTTCCAGTAGAAACAGGAAGATGGGTGGGAATTCAAAGACAGGACAGAATATGCCCACTTTGTAATACTGGTATTGGGGACGAGTTTCATTACTTATATACTTGTAATAACGACACTTTAGTCAAAATAAGGGAAAAACATATTCCGGCCTATTTCTATACAAGTCCAAACCAACATAAAAGGAAAGAAATGTTCAGAATTTTTAATATGAAATTGTTAAAAAGTGTAAGCTTATTTGTTCAAAAATTAACAAAAGTACTTCTGTGTCTTTATTCTATAAGTTTTTCTTTTGTAATTAGTGACATTTTATATAAGTTGAACACTGAATTATTTGTATGTAACTACACGTATATATATTATTATGTACTATGCTATGATATAGAATGTTTGCCTGTCATGCACTCAAACAAAGTTATATATACATGACCTCTTGTTACACATATTATGTGTGTCTGAGTGAAATAAAAATATTAAAAATCTTGAAATCTTGACATGTTTTTGGTCTACAAATTAGGATACTTCTGAAAGAACATCTATATAGTCTGAGGGTGCATTACAGATATTTAACCAGATACCTGTCGCCAAAAATTAAATCATCCTGAGACTCGTTTTATAAAATCTCATATGAAATGAAAACTCGTTTAATATCCTATATATAATATTAAAAATCTAGAAGGCCTATACAACATTGATGGGCTGCTTAAGTTCAAACCGTGATGGTAAAATCACAGACATGACACACATGAGAGGTATCTGGTTATATTATTATTACATATTGTGTACGACAAACATAGCATTAAATTACAAGTTACACGCCATTACATATTATATATTACAAACATAACAATAATTACACGTCTCTTCATCTATTATACTACAAACTATGACATTCAGTTAATACTTCACACGTCGCTGCGTGTACTATGAAATCATTAATAATATAGAGGATATTTGATTGTTTTTCGTTGAATACTATACATTTCTAACAGTTTTTTCATGTTGTGTATCACAACCAGTAAGTGTTTATGCGTTACGTTTCGGTGACTTGTGAGATACGTACTGATGTCACCTTCCTCAGACAAATGACCAGTGAAGCGTTTGTTCGCAAATGTATAGAATATGTACGAGTTGGTTATATATATATTCGAATGTACATTTAGTTGTTATACATGTACGAAAGATTATTTTAAATATTTTTTGTACCTATATGCGTTGTTTTAGAAATATTACAACACGAAGAAAAAACGACAATGATGTATATGTGTTTTTATTGTGAGAAGAAGGCATATGGAGAAACAAACACTTACGACCGTTGTAATTGCACAAAACAACCAACATAACACCTAAAGAAAATACACATTGTCAATAAAGAAATGTGTTTACAAGTTAAAAGTGCGGAGGACCTTCGATAATATGCAAGTTGTTTAGTTACCTCACGTAGTTACAGACGTATACCGAGGGTGAGGACGGCAAGCTTATTGTTGACCTTGTCGTAT